TATTATGTTTTTTTCCAAGCTTTCCATAACAAGGTTTGCAATTGTTGCTGATATGGGGGAACCCATTGCTACACCGTATATTTGTGAATAATATTTTTCTTCAAACTTAAAATATGTAGATTTTAGGCATAGCTCTACCGCTTCAATAATTTGTTTTCTGGAATTGTTGAATGTTGTTCGACTTCCTTCCATTTATTTCTTATACATTCTATTGCATATTCAACTGGGATATTGGTATACAATGATGTTACATCAAGCGATAGTAAACAGTGATTTTGTGGTATTTCTTGGTTTTTGATAAATTCACAGAAATTCCAAGTCTTTAATATGATATTCTGACTGTCCTAAGACATTTCTTAGAATTGTGGTGAGGAACTTTGATAAGTAGTAAGTTGGTGTACCTATATTGTTGACGATTGGTCGTACTGGTATGTTGTTTTTATGAAGTTTAGGTAGTCCGTATATTACTGGTGCTTGGCTGTTACTGCAGTACAGTGTTCGTTTTGTTTGTTCAGTTATGTAGTTTTGTTTAAACCAAAAATTTATTATTTTATGTATTTTGTTTGTATATTATTGGTTAAATCTTTTTTTGTCAGTTTCGAGCAAAAATGAAAATGTTAATGAATAACTGAATTAACAGTTAGTTGAAAAATATTTAGATAGGTACTTACTGATTGATCGTCGAAAATAAAATTCTACTTTCAAAAATCTTAAATCACTTGCAAAAATACAATTCGAGACGAAAACAAAATTTCAATTGTCACAAGAAAACCCAGTTTTCTTATTCTGTGTAAAATTGACCAACTTTGAAAGGACGCACTTTGATTGTTAATTACGAGCGTTTTTACTTATGGGCCGACAAGAAAGAGAGTGGAAGCGCGACTGATAAGAGTTGGTTCCATAGTCTCGGCTTAAACCAGTGCGATGAAATTTTTAAATATCCATTCTCTCGTCAATTTTAACTGAGTATTTGCACAATAAAATGCACATTCGAATATAATTTGGCTTTGACTAATGAGATAACAATTACTGTAAATGAGCACCTAAATGTAATATAAGAACTGTCGAATATCTCAATTTATGAGAATATTATTATAATAAATACATTGTTTAAATTGATTAATGTTAAACTCGAAGTTAAAAAACTTTTTTGATTTTTCAGTATTTAATGCTCTTTCATCTTGTTACGACATGTGTTGTTTTAGAACGATTGTTAAACAATTTTGGGTTCTCCTATTTTAGCGTGTGCCTACATTAAACCTACAAAGTCAAATTTGCGATTTTTCTGGCGCATCTGATCGCACATATTTTTGATATTCATAATTGCAATAATAAAAAGAACAAAATCAAATAAATCAACTTTGTTTGTGACTTATGGTTTTGTATCAACAATGCATAAATATCAGACATGAAAAAGTAACATTATTGCGCCCTACAGAATAAAAAAAGCATGGAATCATTTAACCAAAATAGTAAATTACTCTACTGATTTATTTAATTAACGATTTAACAAAGTAGCGGGAAATAATAGTGTAGGGAGTTGAATGTTTGATACGTTTCAAGGTAACAATTGAATAGATTTGGAAGATTAGAAGGCACTTTTGTCTATTAAACAGGACAGTTTATTTCCTTATTCTCGTGTCAACATTGACTGTTACTTTGTCTGTCCTACTCATCTGATACTCCCAATAAATTGTATACAATTTAATAGAAACTTTTTTGTAATTTTAATTTATATATTGTATTTAGTAAATTCAGTTTCAAGTTATTCGGATTATATGGAACATCTAGATTTACCCTACGCCTATGCCAATAGCAGGTTCATAAATAATCCCTTAATGTTTCTTTACCTACCTCTTTACTTGGGTATGTTGTTTTGTAAAATGCTGTAGAACTTATATTTTTCCGTAAGATATCAAATTGAATTGGCTGATATTCACGACAAAGTTCATAAGGATAACCGCCTAAGTACTTATATAAAGTACATTTTAAGTAAAAGTTTTTAGTAAAACTGTTACAAACAGGAAATTTCTAGATTTTTCTCCATGGAAAGGAATACTCCTTTTTTCTATGCATTATATACGCGGTATTTATAAAACTTTAATGAACGAAACCGTTTTTAAAAAGTTTTATTCAATACAACGACAAATAGGCTTGACTACTTAACGCCACGAGGTGGTTACAAAGAATGATATTTTATATAAAACAATTAAATGAGGTAAACATAACTGCTGACACGTCGAATGCTGGAGCCTGGTGGCTTCTTGGTATTCTGGTTGCAGAGTCGGTTGTTATGGCTATGTAACTCGGTACACAGGGTGATCAAAAAATAATTTGCTAAAACACTGAGTTTGCTAAAGATAATTTCATAATAATTCGTTCAAATTGTCTTTCCCAAAATGCGTCCACGAGAGAAGAAGGACTCTTCATGTTTAGTTTTTATTCTTCAAATTGTTAATCTTTTATTTCCGTTAAAACCCCAAGAGGGGTACCTTCGTCTGATATAGCATCGCGCTGAAAATTTCATATACTTTTGCACGATAGCAGTACTAGAAAATATAATAAATGAGAAAGAAAATAATAATAGGTGATTAGAATTTATCGTTAAAATTCAGTAGTATCAGAAATCATATATGCTGTCCAATCAAATGGCTGGAATTTAGTAATAAGTATAAAGGTACAAATTCACAAAAATTGCCACAAAACGACGTAAATCCAACGTTAACGGACAGTTTTTAAAAGTTTTAAAGATAGTTTCATACCATAACAATCTAAGAATCATGAAATTAATAAATTAAATAAAAAGAATAAAAAAACTATCGCAAAAAATAAATGACACCCGCTTGTTACATTTGGTATTTGTCATTAACCATATAAACAGACTGC